AATATTGATAAGAATGCTGCCATTTGGGTTTGACACTTTGTAAAGACATCGGCCTACGAGTAAAAAAAAAAAAAAAAAATATTAAGTCAATTCAACATAAACTTACATCATTTGGCACCAAATTAATTACCACAAATAAACTTTCAAACCAAATCAAACCCCCAACTAGGCAAGAGGGTCCAGTTCTATTATTATTTAATTACTAAACTGATCTCCCATTTTGTGTTTCACAAAAAAAAAATATTTATATCCCACTGGACAATGGATAAGAGAGTTCACTTTTGGTCTTATTAAACAATTAAGCTGGTCCCTCACTTAATAATAACCAACACTCATGATTATTTTCATTTTTTGTCCTGGGTATGACGATAGACTACATCCGGCAGCAAGGCCTCTCATCAGGAGGTTTTGCTCCTAACCTGGGGTGGTAGCACTTGTTAGGGTCCCAGTTATGGGCAAATAGGGAATCCCCAAATTCAGATGAAAACATTATGAAAATATAAAAATACATTTTTATAGTAAAATTTCTAGACATTATTTACATTATTCGGACTATTGTCCTCATCTTTGTCGCCATATTTATCACGTTTCGGCCGTTGTACGCTCCGGCCTTCTTCAGGTGGTTGGAATTTCGAACTGAGATTTTTGTGGCCTTAAGTTTATGAATTTTCCAATGGTGTTCTTTGTCTATGATCTCAACATGATCCCACAGAAGGCAGTGATCTCCCTTCTCTCTCCATATGTGGTCAGCCATGCCTGATTTTTCTACTTCCCCTCGTGTTACAGCTTTCTGGTGTTCTTGAAGCCTTACCTTAAGGGGGCGACCTGTCTTTCGCTCACTGGGGTAGACTGTTCTAGTTCCATGTGCCATGTTTGATGGATGTCAGTTATCTCCTGCTAATTCCTCTCTTCAAGTTCTCCACTGCTTTAACCGGGTATTGAACTAAACTGTCACTGTCACTGGATCTAACCAACGCCTTTATCCACTGTGCCATGTGTCCTTGAGGACATCTGAGTATGAATTTCTGGGTATTATAAACCTAATGTCTTCAGCAACCATTTTTACCAGTGCTCATATTGCAATTTTTGCTGTTATCATTGCATGTTTTTACAAGAACTCATATTGCAACTGTGTTGTTATCATTGCTTTTCTCTGGCACTCCTTATTACTGGTTCCCATATTGTATTTATTTCTATGCTTGGTCGGCTCAGGAGATTTTTGTGGCCTGGCATATATGCTGATTCCTTAAGTTTATGAATTTTCCAATGGTGTTCTTTGTCTATGATCTCAACATGATCCCACAGAAGGCAGTGATCTCCCTTCTCTCTCCATATGTGGTCAGCCATGCCTGATTTTTCTACTTCCCCTTGTGTTACAGCTTTCTGGTGTTCTTGAAGTCTTACCTTGAGGGGGCGACCTGTCTCTCCTTTATATTCCTTTCCGCAGCTGCACGGGATAGCGTACACACAGTCTTTAGTCATGTTCTCCTCTAAAATTTCTAGCAATACATTTTTGGAAAAAAAAATTAACAGCAATCCATTTTTTGAAAAAGAAAATTAATTTGTATTCTATTCATACAAACTCATCCTAAAAATCTTGTCGGCATTAAATAACCCATTGAGGTTGATATACTGTAAAACAAAACAAACGAAATCGGTTCAGCACTGCCCCAACTTGGTAGCAATTTTAATGATATTCTTGTATATGTTTTTTGGCAAAACATCATGAATTGATTGTGTCACCAACTTTTGTCTTTATGAAAATAATTCTTTTTAATATAAATCTTCATGATGACGCATAATTTTTGGCAAACCAATACTTCAGAAATTGCTCTCAACTTACAGAGTGGGCCAATGCCTGAAAAAAGAATATCAGAGCCAAAAATAGACCTTGACTTTACTATACAAATTTATACACAAGTTTTTAAAGTATATAATGATGATGAGGGGGTATAATGGACACACACACACTCTGCACAATAATCAGGATTGTAGTCATTGTAACATCCACAATCCTTTTATTAGTTTCACCAGAGCTACATATGGTTTTGAAGTCAGAGTTTTCCTTATCCAAGACCTGTTGCCACCCAAGGCTATAAAACACAGTCTGTCCTGCTACTTTACCCAGAGTTGGGGGAAAAGAGATAGATTCATACCTTTCCTAAGAACTCAGCTCTCTGATTCCTCAATCCGAGCTGTTAACCATTACTCCACCAAACCTCCAAATTGTAACAAGAAATCAGAAAGTCAAGTTCAAATCCCATCACTTATGCACAAATAGCCTTGGGAAAAGTATGAATCCACCTCTTCTACCCCCAGCTATGGATTGAATAGCAGGACATATTAGGTCCTATAGCCTTGGTTGGTAACCAGTCTACCGCTAAAAGAAGCAGTAATCTACTGCAGGAAAATCTTCTACCTTGTCAGACATGAATCAAAAGATGATCGCCCAAGCATTTATCACATATGGCACTTAACTGACTGACTGAATGAAAATAAACAACTAAATTATCAGGTGTTAATAACACTTTTTATCATCAGGACTGGTGCAACCACATCTCAATTTTCAGAAGGTAGAATTCATATAAAATACAAATTTTATTGTAACCTAATTATCTCCAATAATGGATCATATGCAATATAGGTGAACAATTCCAGTAAAAAAATTGAAAATAAATCCAATGTATCTAAATACAAATTAGACACATTTCATAAGAGATCATTTCATCTTAAATAAATCAACAATGTTTTATGGCAATTTTTAACGTCAACCTGAGAGTTTTCTTGTTAAAAAGCTGAATAATTTTAACATATTCAACATTATGGATAAAACATATGGAATTTTATATTGTGTTTTTTCGAGATTTAGCACAAGGAAAACAAATTCATGGATTTAGATAAAAAAAAAAAAAAAAAACTCAGAGTAACATCAAAATTTGTGAAAACCTTTCATCCTTTTATAGTCAGTTGTGCTTAATTTAATCTGTAACATATAAATGAAGGTAGGAAAAAAAAGCAAATTTTGATAAGATAGCAAGGGTCATAAGGGCTCTCAGACTCCACCCCCACTCAGGTTGTGGGGGAGGGTGAAATTAGTCTCTAGTTATCACTATTAAATTTATGCATAATTTTAAAACCACTTTTTCAGATATAAATGCCATCTTTCTTTAATTTTTGTTTGAATTTTTCAATGTAAAGGCTTTCATTGTTATGATTACTTCTCATTGTGATCAGGCTTCTATAAGCTGGCTTAAGTCACCCTAAACTGGTTTCAGTGGTGGTCTATGTTGGGATCTGTCTTAACTTTAAGAACCCTTTTCAATAGTAGACCAATTAGTATCATGACTTTAGTGGGAAATGCAAATGGCACTGCACAGTGTTGATTTTCAAGTGTGTAGACAGAATAATAAATAAGTTGCCAAGCAATTAGGATACAAATTGAGAATGAGTTTAACAATTAGAGATCCAATTGCCTTCCAATAAGAGCTAGAAAGTTGGGTGATTTAATAACAACAACTTTGGTTGGATTATTTAATGTCAAATGTGTCTCACAGGAAAATAATCAGAATGAAACAATAGATAGGTACACACGGGTCTGGTTTACACTAGAGTCTGAATAGCTAGACAAAGACCCAGTTTACAGTGCTGTCAGAAAAGTTATACACAGGCCTAGTTTATGCTGCAGTCAGAAATATTAGACACAGGCCCAGTTTATGCTGCAGTTGGAAAACCTAGATGTGGGCCCAGTCTATGCTGCAATTGGAAAAGTTAGACATGAGCCAAGTTTATGCTGGAGTCAGAAGAGCTAGATGCAGGCCCAGTTTGTGCTGGAATCAGAAAAGCTAGACAATAGGATCAGTTTATGCTACACTCAGAAAAGACAGATGAGGACCCAGTTTATGTTGTAGTTGGAAAAGCTAGACATGAGCCCAGTTTATGCTGCAGTGAGAAAAGCTAGATGCAGGCCCAAATTTACACTGCAGTGAGAAAAGCTAGGTGCAGACCCAAATTCATGCAGCAGTGAGAAAAGCTAGGTGCAGACCCAAATTTATGCTGCAGTGAGAAAAGCTAGGTGCAGACCCAAATTTATGCTGCAGTGAGAAAAGCTAGATGCTGGCCTAAATTTATGCTGCTATCAGGAAAGCTAGGCGCAGGCGCACTTTATCCTGCAGTTGGAAAAGCTAGACATTGACTTGGTTGACATTAGAGTGAAAAAAGGTACACATAAATCCAGTTATACCAGTAAATATGTACCCAGAATATGGCCCTTTTTGTAGGAAGGGTTCTTATTCCACTATAGTGCATGCTGTTCACATATTCTCAGCCTTACTGACCAGGGAGTTCGTTCCATAGTGCATGCCGTTCACATACTCTCAGCCTTACTGACCAGGGAGTTCGTTCCATAGTGCAGATTCTATAGGAGAGTTTATGGAGATAAAAAGGAAGTTGTAAAATAACAATAATAAACAGCAATTACTGGCGTAAAGGTCCCAGCTAGCATCCCGCTGGCAGACAAAAATAAAGCAGGTTGTAACTTAATATAAACCCTGCAAACTAACTGATAAATCAAGCTGATATTTATATAGAAATACCTCCACTCAGGTACCAGCAGCCAATCACAGCCCAAGCAATGGACTATCCCACTTTAGCACAATGAAATGCTCCATGGCAACATAAATAGCTCTCTTTCTAAAGGTTGGATTATTATTTACTTAGCTTGCTCCAAAACTGAGTGTTTATCTCTACCACGTGATTTTTCTACATGGCGCTGCGAACAGGATATATGATATGAGTTCAAGTTTCACCTGGATCTTTTTGTTTTTTAATTTTTGCTCTTCACTCTTATCACCCCCAGATTACTCGTTTGAATTTGAATTTTTGTGATGCAAAGCAAGAAAAGGCATTAAGATAAAAGAAATACACATAAAAAAAAAATGACACCATTTTTCTTTTTACTTACCACAGAGAAATAAGATAAATGCAAAAGCCAGACTTCCCATAGCACCAATGTAACCATAATTAAATCCATACTTCTGCTGAAAATAGGAGACGACTCCAAGACCAATAAAGGCTCCAATGTTAAGGCACAGGTAAAAACAATTAAAGAAGGAACGGACTGTTATAAGATTGGAGTCCCGCAGCTGAAAAACATAAAAAGGGCAAGTGTAAAACAAAAACTTCAGTATTTATCTCTACAATTTTGTAATTCATTTTATAAAGGAGTGATTGTTATATTTAATTAGTTCGAACTATTGTTCCTATCTTGATTTGGCACCACTGATATCCTTCAGGATGGTCGCATATCAGATATAAGAGTTGGTTAAACGTGTTATTCGTATCAAGTGATTGTGACTTCAATCCCTGGATCAGCAGGAAAAAACAATGACAGGCATCACAGAGACAATATAACACAATAATTAAAATGGGTAAGTCATTGATTTGGGAAGCGACCTGTGCAGATACATTTTTTGGCCGGTAATTTGATCAGGTCTGTGGTTGAGCCGGGATCCATCGCCTGGGACGCAGAGATGAAAAAAATAGTTAAATATTCTTCTCTCGCTGATAGATTTTTTTTTTTATTCCTGTGGCAGTGTAGACTTCAGGGGTTATTGGCCCTCGTTTGATGGCGTTCCTTCAGAGGATTGGCGCAATTGCTTCTCGAAACAGAGTGGCTCTTGCAGCATGTCCCACTGGCGATGGTTCGAGGTAATACTTTCTCCATCATTGCAGCTGGCAGAGGATAGTAAAAAGAATGGTTTATAGTTTCTGGAATTGTCATCAATGGTCAACTGGACTTGCTTTGTTTCAATAAATTCGCTTCTATTTCATAAAAAAAGAAAATTAACAGATATCCATATCAGTCAAAACAATGGCACCTGATGAAGTCCAGAGCTTACTTGACTGAAACATGTCTATAATGATGGCTATGGCAATCAAGATAAGAATAGTTTGGATTAATTAAAGTATATCATCTATATGAATAAAACAAAGTTTCTGTTTGTCAGTCTGTTTACTATAGACTCAGAAACTACTAGATGGATTTTAACCAAGAAAATGTCATGGACTATATAAAGTTGACGTGAAAGTCATGAAAAATCAAAAATAAGGTCAAAGATATCATTTCTCATGTAAATTAGATATTTCATTTTTTTTTTTTGTAACAATGGAATCGTAGTAAGGGAGATAATTCAACTTAATGTGTGGTTATTTCCTTTAGTCATTCTTTTAATCTATACAAATAAAATGAAGTGTCTGTCTTTAGACAAAATTACTTTTCAAGCAAAGCTTGGCACCTCTGCTAGCTTATAATAATAATATTGAAAGAAGAAACTACAGTTATTTCCAAAATATTCACCTTTCACCAGTGACATTTTATTTTTTATCACTATTGTTTTTAATTATCCCACATTGTGTTAACAATAGTTTTATACAGAAAGAAGGTATGTTGGATGATATTGGACATAAGTATACTATAGAAGATTCTGAAATTAGTGCACTTTCAATGCTTTTTTGCCTTAATTTTTTTCTGATTTAATTTCTCTTTTGTGATAAAAATAATGAAAGCAATAGAGATCTGAATGAGCTTGGCTATGTCATGCATCTTGATACACCAAATGTCAAAGATTTAAAGTTAAGCATCCTTGTATCTATAATGTAATTTTTTTAATTTAAATTGTTTTACTTCTTGCCACCCATATATATATATATATATATATATATATATATATATATATATATATATATATATATATATAATAATGGACTTTCCTGTTGGTTTCGATGTATGAGGAACTGACAGCTTATTGATTTAGTTATGAAATTTGTGCGATAATCTTAAGTGGTATTTAAGACCCACTAGTGATTTACAAAGGAGGCCACATATGGAGCAAGTGTGAGGATTGTGAGATGTTAGATTGTTAGATTGGCTGACCTTTTAGATCTTGTTCTTACTTCTTGAAGATGATTCAGACAAGCAGATTGAAAATTGCTGAGTCCACTAAAACACGTTGATCTCCATTCTACCTGCTCCAGAGCTAAGCACACAAGGGTGTTATGTGGTATATTGACTGCTGACAAGTTGCTTTTCAGCTTGTCTTTGTATCTTAGCCCTGATCTAACTGGCTGTACATTAGGATCTTGGGTATCCTGTCATCAGACATTCTCAAAACATGACCAATCCACCATAACTGAGACTGTATGATAAAAGTCTCGATTCCTCCAATATTACACCTGTTAAACAGGTCTACGTTAGATGTCCTATCTTGAAGCTTAACTCCACAGATTGCATGCAAACAGCTTTTATGGAAAACATCCAGCTGGCATATATGGTACCTGTATGGAGTCCACGACTCTGAGCCATACAAAAGGATGGCAAGTACAACAGCTCTGTAAACCCGAATTTTCGTATCCAGTCGAATACCCCGCTCATTCCACAAGTGATGGTGAAGTTTGCCGAAAGCACTGGTAGCCTTAGCAATCCAATGCATGATTTCATCATCTAAAGTTCCACTGTAATTGACTTTGCTACCAAGATAGGTGATATATTTCAAAATGGTTTCAAAACATAGTAATTTCTTTGTCATGATGGAAATATATTTTTTTTAAAATTATAATATATTTTATTATTTCAGAGTTATTTTTAGTGAACACCAGTATTTGAAAACAGATGCCTCATTTTTATTTTAGTGTGTATTACATCTATGCAGTTGTCCCTTAGATGATTGATATACATATATATATATATATGTGTGTGTGTGTGTGTGTGTGTGTGTGTGTGTGTGTGTGTGTGCATCTATATTAGCACATTTACTCCAGAGTTTCGTACATGGACCTCATTAATGTTATATTAAGATAAAAAGACCTTTATGTGCTTTGTTACTGATGTTTGGCTGCCTGTACATGCACATATGTGCACATGTGTAGAATAACATGGCTATTTCTTCTTTTCATAATTTTCATGACATCTTATTCTATCTCATTATTTCTTTTCTTTTTTTTCTCTCTCTCTTTCGGCCCTCAGTGTCGAAAGATAATGTAACAATGTTATTTCTGGTGTCAGAAACAGGGGATTAGTTTTTAAACTAATTTCCCTTGAATATTATGGGGATTTCTAAAGCTTTTGAAACTACAGATGTATTCCATTTTATATTTATTTTAGGGACATCAACAAAAATTATTTATTTCTTGTTTAAAGAATTCATTTGTTTTTGTTTTTTTTTAAGTAATGGTTAAATATATATTTTGTTAAAGTCTTAAATAGCATGAATGAAAGCATCTTAAAACTAGAAAAGGCAAATATCTAAGTAACTTTTCAGCCGGCCCTTTGTCAGAGATCAATCGTTGGCAAAAACAATTACTTTTTTCCTAACAAGAACAACAAAAACACTTTTAGGGGACTAATAAGAGAACAAAATGGCACACAAATCTTCAATCAAATTTAGAAACCAATTTAATTCGTAAGATTAAAAACAAACAAAACAATAATTAAGTCACCAAATCAGAAGCATCTTCTCCCCCCACAGTGATGTCCATTTTCTGCTGGATTTTTTTCAGTTTTATTATTATCATTATATATATATATATATATATATATATATATATATATATATATATATGTGTGTGTGTATATATATATATATATATATACAATTAGGCTATCAAGGTGCAAGTAATTCTTTTGTCATAGTAAATTAGGAGAACATTCAATTATGTTAAGAGTTGTAGCTGATGGTTGGTATACAAGTCAATATCTGATCAATATCGATTGAGTTACTGTGGAGAAAGAGTATGACACTGTAAGACCCTAGACACCTAATGATGCTTGACCAAAAAGATCACTTATGATATGAGCTGCTGGAACATCTCAGAGATTTATTTGATTGATTCGTTTTTACAGCATACCAAAGCCCAAAAATATTTTTAGATTGAAAGAATTTTTTTTACATAATAATGGTTTATTCATACAAGTAATTAACCAATAGCTGGGGGGGGGAAGGTGGATTCATACCATTCCTAAAGGGTATTTGTGTGTAAGTGAATATAACAAACATAATGGCAATTGGAAAACTCTGCTCTTCACAAAGTGTGTGTGTGTGTGTGTGTGTGTGTACACACACACACACACGTAGATGTTTTTGGATGGTATTCAGTAAGTTTTATCCAGGAGACGTCTTCATTTTTTAGTAGATTTTTAATGTTGCTTGTGAATTTCTGTGTCTATTTTATAGCTTTGTTTTCATTTACTTTTTCATAGATGTTATCATCGTTAATGAGTTCTCTCATTTTCTGTTGGTAAACATGTTTATCTATGATTACAATTCCCCCACCCTTATCAGAAGTAGATATATGGATGTTTTCGTTGTTAGCTAATTCTTTCAGGCCTTTTATGTATCAAAGGAAGTGTAATGTTCGTATTTTTGTGTGTAGCTGTGATTAGGCCTTTGGTAAAATCAGAGTCATTGTAGTGAGGATTTTTAATTATATAATCTGTATACATTATATGGATTACCAAAAACACATAAATTGAATAAATATATATATATATATATATATATATATATGTATGTATGTATATATTTAGGCAGCAGACAAATCCAGAAAGGAAAGTTACGATCAGAATAAACATTACTGAAATATTATGTGTGCAACCTCATGTCCTAACATGTGCAAGTGAAATATTTGCGTAGTCGTTTATAACGATTTTTACGAGCGCGTCAATAACGGCAAACGCGTTCAGGAACTTTCACTACAGACAAAAGCTGCAAAGAGGAAAAATCGTTTTATTTATTTCATTAAGAATTTACAAAGAGGAACAATCAATAAGTTTTTTTTGTTTTTTTTTTCATACCCTGCCTGGTGGCAAACGCTGCTGGTGGCACCTGGGGTGGCGGTCTCGCCATAGACACCGAAACCATGAGATCACCCCTGGTCGGTGGCTGATGAAGACAGGGTATCGCACGTGCTAACACACGTTGTATGTTAAAAAAAAAAAAAAATAGGT